GAGGGGGGAGGGGTGGCAGGGGGCACATGCCCTCCCCATGAATTTTTTTTGTTCCTAACAATGAATTTGCATGAAAAATGTCGAACTCCCCCACCATTTGCACCAGCCCTCTGTAATAATGGATTGTTCCTTTATATTCCATGACTCTATTTTAATTACCAATACATTAGTACTTTCATTCTCCATTGTGGTACTCAGTTATATATGAGGAAAGTAGGGGCTGAGCCCTAATTACCATKCATTGGATTCTGCTTGTGCTGCTCAGTGTTTTGATTCCCTGTGTTCTGTAATGCAGGTACATGCTGGGACACAGTTAACTTTATAAATAATAGGAATATGAAGAGATARCTAGCTAAAAACTAGTGTGATATTGCAATATGGACAACCCTCCAAATTAATGGGTCAGATATGAATGAGGTTACAATGTACACTTGTTGATGGAGTTTGAGGAGGGGGGGAGGGAGGGAGGAATGAGGCCAAAATATATTCAGTGGCGGATCAAGGGGGTCGAAGGGGTCCACGGAAACCTCCTTGAAGGTTTGATCTTTTAGGTTATAGAAATATGTCTGGTATAAATTTTAATAAAAAAATATTAGTAGTTTTGTGTTGGGTCGTGTTATTATAGCTTGGTCTGTTACTAGATAGTAAATTAGTTTATTATAGCCAATTTTTTTTGTCAAACATCGACTAAACAAAAGAGAATTATACACAGTTTAAGAAATGGAACACCCCTTTGAAAAATCTTGGATCCGCCACTGATATTTCAATGTTATTTGAAAATTCAATGAAGAAATGAACAGCTATGAACATTTCCATAGGAATGAGAGCCGAGGAAGGTTAGCCATAGTTTATAAATAACTTATCAAACTCATGAATAATTCATGAGGAAAACACAACAGAAATCACGACCGTGAAGAGTGTTGTAAATCTGATACAAAACTGTGTTCATTTGCATAAACTTTAAGTTGGATTTTCTTGGCCAAATTCACTTTAATTTTGAAAATTTTAGTGAAACACAAAGGAACTAACCTAGACATTTGATAAGTTATATACAGTATTCGTGTTCGTGTTGTATCAGATATACGATCACTCGGCTATGCCTCATGGTTGTAATATCTGATACAACACGGCCACTCATACTATATTACATACTATATTACATATCTGAGCCATAAAAGCTCTTTTTGAGTATGAAATAATTAAGGTCCTTTACCATCTTATAGGTTGGTCATGTTCAAGAGATCAATATTGTAGACGGACAGACACATAARCTAATAACAAGAAGCATGCGACCACTAATGTTTGGTAAGTTGGCAGACACCTAAAGTACAATGACAACTAGCTCACCTGCCTCGGCTCTCATTCATGGAAATGTTCATAATTTGTTCATTGAATTTTTCAAATAACATTGAAAAATATACTTTCTGCCTCATACCTCCCCCCCTCCCCCATCAACAAACAAAAAGCCCTCCTATTCACCTATTCACTAAATGCGGCTTTCAGCTTTCATTTAAAAGCTTCAAAAGTTTTCCACCAAGTATTGTAACCTCATATATATATCAGACCCATTAATTTGAGGGGCTGTTCATCCTGCAATGTGTATTTGTTTGTTAGCACAACACCTATGTCTGAAAATCAGCTTGGTGATCCATCTACCATTGATAAATCAATTGAATTGATTGGTTCAGATTGATTGATTGATTGATTGGTTGATTGATTAATTGAAATTGATGTTATCTGTTTATCCCCTTACTGAGTGCTATTGCTTTGCTTACCAGTAATGCTCAATAAAATGCACTAATGAACAAGGATGTGACTCATACTAGAATCTCTAATGGGAAATAATTTCATCCCAATGGGCCTATTTAGATCTTATTAACAGAGTGGGAGGTCTGTACATGATAATCTTGACCGAGGTCGGAATGTACAGACCGAGCGCAGCGAGGTCTACCCGACGGAGGTCAAGATTATCCCGTACAGACCGACCAAGCTCGGTTGATAAGAGTTTTATTATATGACCAATTTTCATTGAAAAGGACAAAATGTTTTCAGCATAAGATTATTATGAGATCGGACCGGTTAATACCGGAGAATCTAGACCAGTCCGCGATGCGATCTATCCAATCAAATTGCTCGATTTCCTAGTGTCCAGGCTCTAAGATTCACGGCCATATAATTTTTTTTTTTTTTTTTTTTTGTCAAAGCTATAGAAGAAAGTATAGGGATGCAGTGTCAAGGCTAAGAGTTGTGATATTTTTTATTTCAACTTACTTTTCACAGAGATTGCTAACTTTCTGAGTGAAGAWGAATGTGACCACATAATTGACCTGGCTAAAAAAGAAGGGTTAACAGAAAGTACGACACTTGATACGGAAGAGGATAGTGGTGAGTGGTACTGAAACGTCATCATCATGATGTTAATCTTGTAAAAAAA